TGTGGATGCAGGCAGGGCTCTGTGGTCCCGACACTGCTCCTGTCCCCACAGCTTCCTCTCACCGGCAGCACCTTCCATGACCAGATGGCTATGCTGAGCCATAGGTGCTTTAATGCCCTTACTAACAGTTTCCAACCCTCGCTGCTCGGCCGCAAGATCCTGGCTGCCATTATTATGAAGAGAGATGCTGAGGACATGGGTGTGGTCGTCAGTTTGGGGACAGGTGAGTTAGTGTTCCCTGAGACATTGCCCTCTCTGGAGTCATTCTGAGCAAGTCTCTAAGGCCAGGGCAGTGCAGGCTGAGTGTCTGCAAAGTTCCTTACATGATGCTCAGAACATTTTGGAGTTGGAGCTGTTAAGATTTTTTAGTCAACTGTTTACCAGGTAAATACCACATAAATATTCCAGAGCCTTTGACGTCTGAGATTCTGTCCCTCAGCATTTCAGTTGAGGAGGACTGATTTCTGTTCATTTTAGCTACAGTCAGCTCAGATTGAATGTTTGGCTTGGGGATTTTGTTTTGTTTTGAGGCAGCGTCTCACCGTGGCCCAGGCTAGCCTCAAATGGCTTGTCCTCCTGCTTCAGCCTTTCTGGTGCTGAGATTATGCTATACTGACAGGGATGAGGCCTCCCTCCCTGATCTAAACAAAACAGGGCCCAGGATCTGTCCACTCAGGGCCATTTCTGCTTTATCAGCACTTTGATTACCCCAGTTTTGTTTTGATAACCTTCCCAGGGAATCGCTGTGTGAAAGGGGACTCTCTCAGCCTGAAGGGAGAGACAGTCAATGACTGCCATGCAGAAATCATCTCCCGGAGAGGCTTCATCAGGTAAGCAAGATAGGCACACCCATTTGGCCCATCTTGGGACCCTTCCAACCCCCAGTCCATTCACCTCCCTGAAAACCCAGCAAATCGGCAGCAGTCTGTTGGGCCTGTCATTTGCAGTCAGTGACCTGGCTGCATCTTTTCAAAACAAAGTGACCTGTGAGTTCTTAGGCCTTTGGAATGAAGCCACTTTCCCTCCATGTGAGAACCTATACACAGCCTCTGTCCCTGACAGTTTGCTTCTCTGGGTCACCTTCAGTTGACGAAGGGCAAGAGTCAGGGAGAAGCAGCAGCCAACCCTGCCTGGAATCCTGTGTGGCTAGCTACCGTTTATGAGATGCAGAGGTCTCCCATGGAGAACTTCCCAGCCCCTCTTCCTCCTGAGAAGCTGAAAGCTGTGTACCCTGGGGCCTTTCCTTACCTCTGGCCAAACTGAGGGCAGAGTGTAGAGGTGTGGTCAGCTGCTGCTGTCCCTAGCCAGCTCTCCTCTGGCAGGTTTCTCTACAGTGAGCTGATGAAGTACAGCCAGCACACTGCCAAGAACAGCATATTTGAGCTTGCCAGGGGAGGAGAAAAGCTCCAGATCAAAAAGACGATTTCTTTTCACCTCTATATCAGGTCTGTACCCTGTCTTGGCTGTCCATGTGTTCTTCTGGCTCCTAACCCTGACCTTGTACATAACCCTGTCTGCTCTGTGTCCAAGGGGCCTGCCCAGATGGCAGAGGCATTCCTGCTACCCAATCCCCATATAGGTTTAAGAACATGTCCCTGGCTTTGGTGACAAATGGTTTCAGGACCCGTGAGGTTGGAGGGAAATCCGTAGGGAAAGTCCTGACTGATGCTGTTATTTGATAGCACGGCCCCATGTGGAGATGGAGCCCTCTTTGACAAATCCTGCAGTGACCGTGCTGTGGAAAGCACAGACTCGCGCCACTACCCTGTCTTTGAGAATCCCAAGCAAGGCAAGCTTCGCACCAAGGTGGAGAACGGTGAGTGATAGGTGGACCTCCTGCTGCTTAAAGGCTGTGATGGGATCAGGTTCTCTGAGGCCTGGAGCCTGGGAAAGCTGAGCATCCCATGGCGCTCAAGGGAGAAACCAGCTCAAAATAAAATGAGAGCCGCAGTCTGTGCTATGGTCATGGGAAAAGGTGTGCAGAAATAAACAAAACTGATGGGGTCGACTGGGCTGCAAATTGTCCTGCTGTGGCTGTGCCCTGCCCTCCAGCGTCCTCTTCTTTCTTCTGTTGTCCATGTCTCCTCACACCACTCCTATCCGTCACACTTCAGTGCCATCCAGATGGTCCTCGGACATTACTCCAGTCCTTTCTCCTGCTAAACAGTCTAAAGTGTGAACACAGTCACCACACAAATCCACTCTTAGATGGTCACCTAAGCGGTGATGGTGTGTGTTCACAGAAACACATGGATATCAGTACTTTCGGTGGTGTGAGTTACAGTGGCCAGGGTGAAAGAACACAGGGTAAACAGATAAATAAAACATGCTATGCCCAGACAATGGGTTATTATCTGCCATAGAAAGGAGTAAAGTCCTGGGACCTGCCATGGCATGAAAACATGCTAGCTGAAAAGTAAGTCACAAAAGAACATGTGTCATGTGATTCCATGTCTGAAAGGAGCAGAGCAGAGACAGATCCATCTACACAGAAGTCATCAGGCCAGGGGCTTCCTAGTGGAAACGGCTTCTTTGTGAGGTAATACAGTGCTACAAAGCCGGCTCGAATGATGTGTTGTGTGTTTGAAGTGGATGGATTAGGTGCTGTAATATATGAATGTAGCCCCCATACAGCTGTTCTAAAGCAAAACAAAACCAGCCAGGCATGTGGCGCACTCCCAGACTTGGAAGGCCAAGGCTGAGGATCAAACATTTGTACTTGGGTTATATAGCAAAAGTGTCTCAAAAAGAAAACCAAAACAACAAGACAAGAACTGGGAGATGTCCCAGGTAGTAAAGTGTTTGCCATACAGCAGCACAAGCACCTGAATTCTGATCCCCAGAACCCAACTGTGGCAGCCTATAGTCGCAGTTCTGGGGGCTTGAAGGCAGGAGCAGTAGGCCTAGTCAAGTGAATGCACTTTAGGTTCAGAGACCATGCCTCAAAACTAAGGTGGAGGTCAGAGGAAGCCAGCCAGCCAGCATCAGCCTGGCCTGCGCATGCACACACATTTGCACATGTACTTTTCATTTGCATTACACAAACAGCACACTCACAAGTGCACTCACACCTCTGTACACACATGCTACACACACTAAATGACTAGAACAAAACTAGGGCTGGGAGTGCAGCTGAGCGGATGTGTTTACCCACTGCACTCTACAAAGGTGAAGGCCCCAGCCTCACCCACACTGTCCCCTCAGCCAGCTGCCACAGTCGCACCTGCTCTGTGTTCCCGGAAACACCAGACCCCTTGCTGCCTTAGGTCCTTTGCTTTTGCTCTTCTGTATCTGCAGCACTCACTAGAGCTGCTTTTTTCCCCTTGGCTGAGCTCGCCTGACTCTTCTGCCCTTCCAGTGTCTGCTCCCTTCAAATCGCCTGAGCACTGCAAGCGTCCAGGGCTTGAGTATAGTTGGTTTGCTGGTTTAGTGTTTTTCTCCCTTCTCTCCTTTCATCCCATAAACATGGCGAGAAGCAAAGTCTAGGGTTCTGTAGGGCGTGTAGTAGGTGCTGTAAAACAAGCATCCAACAGCCCATGCCTCAGGGGTACACATAGTATGCCCAGGGTGTGGTTTGCTCCAGTGGCCTTCATTGGTCCAACTTTCTCATGCAGGGGAAGGCACAATTCCTGTGGAGTCAAGTGACATTGTACCCACATGGGATGGCATCCGGCTCGGGGAAAGACTCCGTACCATGTCCTGTAGTGACAAAATTCTACGCTGGAATGTGCTGGGCCTGCAAGGGGCACTGTTGACTCACTTCCTGCAGCCGGTGTACCTGAAATCTGTAACGTTAGGTAAGGGACCTCATTTGGGAGCTGGAACCCACCTGTCCTCTGCTCCAATCCTGGCAAGCTTTAGTCCACGCTGTCCCGTATTACTGTGACTCTCCCCAAGTGAGCACCTTTGGGTCACAGTCTAAGCACCTAGTCTGCTCTGACAGGGCAGGTGGGGATAGGTAAGGAAAGACTGGCAGACAGTTCTCAGGCTGCCACAAAACCACTTGAAGCCCCATTGTTGATGTCGCCTTCTCAGCAGCCACTGCCTTACCGAGAACCATGTGTTCTGTGCATAGGGATTTGATGGCCTGTGTGGCCACAGTCAGGTGCTTCCTAGCAGAAGAACTGTTTCTCTGTTCTGATGACAGAAAATCTTCCAGCTCCTAGTGTGCCTCTGCCTCTTGGTAGCACTTGCTGCAGACCCAGGTGTAAACTTGCTTCTGTTTTCACCCAGGTTACCTTTTCAGCCAAGGGCATCTGACTCGTGCTATCTGCTGCCGAGTGACCAGAGATGGGAAGGCATTCGAGGATGGACTACGCTATCCCTTTATTGTCAATCACCCCAAGGTGCTATTACCCTGTTCTATTTGCCCTTGACCTATACCTCCTTCTTAGGCAAAACTACATACTGTAGAAAGGGAAACATTTTTTGGGCTCAGAGCAAACTTTCCCTCCCTTCAGGTATCTGGGCTTAAATTCTGAGTCAGAATCAAATCTGAATCATGGTTAAGTCAGTGTAACTCAGGGGGAAAGATGAGAGCCTCATACCCCTTACCCGGGAGACCTACATCTCCTCTCCCCAACCTTTGCTCTGAAAGGCTTCCGTTTCTCATCACTCTGCGGACTCCTAGGTTGGCCGAGTCAGTGTGTATGACTCCAAAAGGCAATCCGGAAAGACCAAGGAGACAAGTGTCAACTGGTGCTTGGCTGATGGCTGCAACCTCGAGATCCTGGATGGCACCAGAGGCACTGTGGATGGGTAAGGAGCAGGAAGGGCACATGAGAGGTCCAGCTTGGACCTGGGCTTTCTGCCACACTCAGAAGGGCAGGCCCCTGCCAGCTGGTCTCCAGAGGCTAAGGGCCATCCACCTTGTGTAAAATTCACACCTTGGTTCCCACCTCACCTGCTCCCAGATGAGTAATGGGTGCCTTTGTTTGCGCAGGCCGGGTAAGGAGTTGTCTCGGGTGTCCAAGAAGAACATTTTCCTTCAGTTTAAGAAGCTCTGCTCCTTCCGTGCCCGAAAAGATTTACTTCAGCTCTCCTACGGTGAGGCCAAGAAAGCTGCTCGAGACTATGAGTTAGCCAAGAACTACTTCAAGAAGAGCCTGAGGGACATGGGCTATGGGAACTGGATCAGCAAGCCCCAGGAGGAGAAGAACTTCTATCTTTGTCCAGTACCCAATGACTGACAGTGGAGTGTGTTTCCATGGGCTCAGAGAGAGGGCATGCATTCCTCATCATGTTGGGCCGGAGTTTAGGGGCTTTTTTTTAACCCCACCCAACCCCCTTTTTTTAACGGAGGAACCTTAATAGATGGTACCAAGAACTTTGGTTCCCATTTATCCTGCTTGCTTTGGAATTTGGAGGTGGGGTCTGGCCAAGCCCCCTCCTCTTTTCCCAAGGGAAGAGGCAGAGGTTAAAGGAAGAGGAAACACTACCATTCCACATGTAGCATAGACGTGGTCACGTGGAACCCAGGCCCCTCCGGTTTAAGTTTTGTGGAGGATTCTTTTCATCTCCTTTTCCTTTGCTATCCAGGCTTCTTGTGGATTTCATTACATTCCCATCAGTTCTCTGTAAATCATGTCAGGGACTAATGATGTCACCTGTAGATGTTCAGTCCCCTGCTCTGCCCCCCGCCTTCCCGTGATGAGACTTATCTTTACCCACCCCAGAGGGTAGAGGTGAACATAAAGGATTGATGAAATGTTTACAAGGACAGGAGTTGAAACTGGTCAGGGATTGTAGGGCAACGGGAATGTGGTAAATTGTGGGTGGGTAACAGTAACAGGCAGCGCTGGCCAGCCAAGAAACTTTCCTTCCTGGAAGTTGAGAACCAGCCAGTGGGACTGGGGAGGGTGTCCAAGCCGAGCAGGTCCCCCAGTGGGGACTACAGAGCACAACCAGGGGCCACCAACACTCCTTGGCATGTAGCCACACTCCACATCTGCCCCTCCATAAAGCATTCCCAGAGGCTGCTCTATCAACACGGCACAGGCCCCAGCTGTTCGTGAAAAGCCAAGGACAAGTCCTGGAGGGCAGATCATCGTAGTCCAGACTGAGCAAGAGTGAATGCAAGTGTGTTGGTGACACTTTGATCACTTGGGATTCTTCTGGCACTGATGCCAGCAGAAGTTGACAAAGCCTTGTATAAAATTAATGTTTCTAAGAAGCCAGAACTGCATCACAGACTTGAAATGCAAATCTATTTTTTCATGAATGAATGTACTTTGATTTTAGCAGATAGTTTCAGGAGCTGGTTCGTGGGCAGGGCACAAGGTACTGGCATCTCCTGCCCTGCCTCTTTGGAAATCTTACTGTATGTACAACAGTGTTGTCGGTGATCGTGCAGGCTAGCCTCTGACAACTCTCCTCCCAACATTGGCTTATGGATATGCGGGAAACTTAGCCTCTGTGGAGTCTAGCTCCAGCAGGAAGTCAACCAGACAGCTAGACCCTGCTCCATTCTGCCCCTCTGAATGGTGCAGCTCCATCTGGGAATAGCTGTGACAGTGTATTCAGTGGCTTCCTGCAATTGCTTGGCATCCCCGCCCCCTGGCCCACTGTCAACAGCAGACATCACATTTGCACTTTGATTTCTAAAGGCTACTGTCTCCTCAACCTCTGAGCAGACCTGGCCAACACAAGAACCTGTGTCTTAACAATACACTGGTGATATCTTTGCACGACACCAAATCATCCAGTGGAACTGCTAATGTCTGCGGAAGTGAGGGTCTGCCTCCAGATTTTGAAAGTGGCACTATGTTTCTGTCGGCTGAAGACACGTTCTGACTTGGCACCCACAGCTGAAGCAGAGCCACTGTGGCTTCCAGGCCTGGGCAGGAAGCTCTTACCCTGGGCACTGAAGGCCAGAGTCTCTTCTCCATTGATTCCTGTGGCGCCTGGGTATTCACTTGGCAGTGCTGACTCAGCAGCCATTTCCTCAGCAGGCACACTGGGTTCTCCAGATCAGAGCACACACACCCCATCCTGGGAGATCCTGCCTAGCAAACTTGGTTCTGGGCTTCTGCAGATGGAGGGGAGCAAGGCATCCCTCTGTTCTGTGGGCTTGCTGAGGTGAGCCACCAGGATGCCCACCCCTGCCCCAGGCCCCATTGGGCAGAGGGCAGAGCTTCCACTTTGTTTTCTTCACTTATTTGTGTGATCTTTATTTTAAGAAGCAGGCCTCCTTCCATACCATTTCTTAATTTCTGTAGTTGATTGTCTGAACTGTGGCTGTTTTGCATTCTTTGAATAATCAACATATAAGAATTGTCAGTGCTTAAAACTTTCCTGTACTCAAGTTGAAGGGACTCGGTTGACCTTGTGGTTTTAGCAGCGACTCCAAGATCAGAGTGGGAAAGAGCCCAGGCAGAGCCTTGGTGCTGAGATGGGTGCAGGCCCTTCTGTGTCCCTTAACAAGTGACAGCATACATTCCCCAGAAATAAAAACAATGACATGTCAGGACTGTTGGAAAGTTTCATGTCTTGGTTGCTTGGGGGAGGTGATATGGAGCCGAGGGGCCTGTGACACTTCTCCTGGGTGGGTAGTGTGATGGGCTGCCTAGTGGGCAGGGCACTCCAGCCACATGCTCAGTGCTTTCCCTGCTTCCAAACACCTTTTCCCTTCTGAGCCCACTCTCATTTGTGTGTGTGTGTGTGGGGGGGGTGTTACAGGATTTTAAAGCCCCAAATGAGACAGCACTGGAGATGCCTTACTGTGTCTCCCTCCCCACAAGCTTCCACCTTTCCTGCGCCTGTGGGTGCCTTTGGAAGGGAGCTGCAATTGGGACCACGCAGGTGCACCTTTGAACTTCGTGAATGGCATCCCAATCTCCCTCTTAAGTTCCTTCGTTGTCTTGTAGACAGATGGATGGGATGACTGAAGGAAGTCAGAGGACCCAGTGACATATTTGGGGGCACAATTCTTAAACCAGGACTTCATGTAGTATTTAAATGCAGTGCTCAAGGAACTGAGCAATTTTAAAGGCAGGTCAAGGTGACAGCTCCTGCTGTCCTGGGGTCTCAAGTGCCTCTGTCCTCAGGCAGCCACTAGGTCCACATGTGAGGAAATGGAGTGTTCCAGTCTGAGAATGTAGCTGGCTTTGTGGGCTGGGAGTTTTGCTCAGGACAGAGTAGCATGAACAGGTAGATTCAATCAATGCCTGGCCCCCAAATTTAAAGATAGCCAGTTTCCTTAACGCTTCGGTGAAGGCCCGGAGAGGGTCACCCACAATTTCACCCTGATCCCAGGATTTGAGCACGGATCAAGTCTGTGCTGTGAGAGTCTGCCAGCTGATTGAAGTCTAGATATTTTAGGGCATGGGCTGGAGGGAAAGCCCAGCCCACCCCGCCCCTGCTGGCCCAGCCACCTGCCATTTCTTTTCCATCGATAAGTGAAGCAGAGAACACTGACTGGCAGCACAGCTGCCTTTTGCAGTACCTCTCTTCCAGGAGCAGGGATTCTCCAGCGTTCTCCCCTTCTGTGTCTGCCATTCTGGTCGGGAAGGGTTAGTCCCTTCCCCGCAAACAACAAAATCACAAGACATACTCAGAAACAATTTTAAGAGAAATGAGTCCAGCTATGGGGGAGTAGGTTTAGGGAGGGGCATGTGGACCATTGCAAATACTCCAGGAGGGGAGACAAAGACGTGTCTAGGACAGTTTAGAGATGAGTGCATTAAAGGTAGGGGGTGAGGTGTCCTACCAGTTCCCAAAGTTTTAGTCCTATGGGAAGCATGTGACCAGCACACTGACAGGCTTCAGACATGATGGGATAATAATTACAAAGTGCCGCTTGTTCTGGCCATTTGGGGTTGGTGAGTGGGAAGCTGCCGATATAAGTGGGGCTCAACAGCCACTTCTGCCTGGGAGCAGAGGGCAACAGCAACTATTTCACTCTTCTTGGAGGAACAATTTAGAGAAGGCTCTAAAGGCCCTTGCTTTCCTGCCTGGGACATCTCCCACCTGTCCAAAGGCCATGGTGGCAGGCAGGGAGCAGGCACCGGGCACTCTGGAAGTCATGCTCTGCTGCTCCTGGTCTCAGGAGCATCCTTGCAGGACTGTGAGAGGCACAGTCCCATAGGGTGGGCACAGTGGCCAGTCCCTTGGTATCCTTGTTCCTTACAAGGAAGTCCTTCTCTTCCCCTTCAGTCTTCCCCAAAAGAACCATCTGGAGGGTCCTGTGTCCTGTCTGCTTTCTGCACTCTTGGCACCAGCTGCTCCAGACTTGTAGGTCTCCACAGAGGCAGGGAGCCTGTGGGCCAGCTTTCTAGGCAAAGGCAGGCGGTTACTACAACTTAGCTTGGCTGGAAATCCCCAGCTCCTTTCTTCACTGCCACGCCCATGCCACCCTGTCCCAAGTTCCCATCTAGGCTCACCAAATCAGGTACCTGATTCTCTCCAGAGACAGCTAGCTCCACATAGGAGGAGGCAAGGAGCTTCCCAACATCACCGAAGGTAGAGACAGAAGTCCCTGAAATGGCAGGGACTGAGTTTCCCCAAAGCCTCTCAGTATCCTCCAGGGTTCATGATGTCCTGATACACCATGGCTTCCTTCCACCCCTCCCCCATTGCAGTCTTCCTCCAAAGGCTGCACCATAAATGGTGGGAGCAGCACTGCCCCGTGACCCGTCACACACATGGGTCCTTTCTGCCCACTCCAGCCCTGCCTACCTCTATCTCCACTGTGCAAGTGCTGACAGCATGTTCGAAGGCAGGCACTGTTTGCCCAAAAGTTCAACAGGACCTGGAAAGGAGTTGGACAAACTGCCCACTAATCTTTCTGGGCCTGGCCGGCGACTAATTCAGACAACAGCCAGTTACAGGAGGTAGTAAAGTCAAGGGGAGTCACAGCAGCAGCTGGTGGGTCCCCAGAGGCTGAGCAGCCTGCACTGGTGCTACCCTCTACAGGGGCAACACCTGTCCAGGTGCTGCTTATAACTCCGGTTGCTTTCTCTGGACCTGGAAGTTTATGGAGGGAGAGGAGTGGCCTCATGCAGGCAACCTTGAATTTCCTGTTCTAGTAGAAGGAGGTCTCTCCTGCCACCAAGCAGAGATGCTCAGGAGCTCTCTGATAGCTAGGAAACACACTGAGGCACAGTTGAGATGTCTGTCGCTTGTGTCCTTCAAGCAGTCCGTGGCCTTGGGGCAAGAAGGAAGGGGCTCACCTTCCAGGCCTGTTCCAACTCTGTAACATGGCTTCCACTGGAATCCAGCAGTGTCAAAGTTCTTCTGACACTGTGAGCCTAGACTTCTCACCCAGCTCATGACCTTCAAAGGCTTCTCTAACACCTCCCCTTTCCCAAGTGAGAAAGGAAGGAGAGGAAAACCTAGGGGCTCAAAGAGTTCTGCACTGGCAGAAGGGAACTTGGAGCTGGGCTCTGGAGCCCCCAACCCCTGCCCAGGCACAGGCTATAAGACTGAACTCAAACTCCCCAGGAGACTAGGTGCTCTCAGGAGGATCCCGAAAAGTGCAAGTCCTCGAAGACCAGCTGCTGTCCACTTAAGTGGAAACAATCACCGGCCAGACCAGGACTGGTCAGCCTGACTGGAGAATCTTCTTCTCTTCTTCCATGACTTGAAGGCAACTCTGTCCCTTTCTTGGTCCCTTCTCCAACCCCCTCCTCAGGACGGATGGCTCTACTTGCCAGCCTTGGCCCTCACCATTAATACTACTGCCTGAATTAGCTCAGAGGGGAAGGAGGGTGCTTGAACACTGAGGCAGCTAGCCCAGCCTCCAGGCTGGAAGGCTGTGTGGGAATGAAGGGGCGGAGCAGGGTGTCAGCGGAGTGGGGACAGATCCATCCTCCACCCAACACTACTGAACCCCAGGGGGGAAGGGGCGAGGAGCTACAGATGAGTGAGCCTCACTTGGAGCTGGGAGCTGAGTGGTCAGGGTGGAGGAAGGTGGAGGCAGTGTAGTTCTGGAAGAGAGGCTGCAGGAACATGCCGATGGTGCCAAAGACACAGACGAAGACAAAGATCCAGAGGAACAGGCGGTCAATCACCATAGCAACGTATTTCCAGTCCTCCCTCACCTGGATGGAGGAAATAAAGTTGGCCTAGATATCAGTCTCATGATGTGGAAAGGGGCAGGAAATTTCCTGCCACATACTCCACTCCTCTCCCTCAGCAAACCCAGAACAACCTTTCCCAGCTCTGATCCTGCCTGCTTTAAAGCCTCTCCTGCCCTCACGGCCCACTCAAACCTACCCATAACAAAGAGAAGCCTATTTCCTATTGCCTCCCACACTCCAAAATTCAGATTTAATAAAAATTCCAACACGTATTCTTAGTTCTTTTGCTTCCTTTAAAAACAAAAACAAAAACAAAAACAAAAACCTGGTAAACTCCTACGTATATTTCAAAGCCCTAATTGCCTAATTGTTTATTCACTAAACAATTGAAGGCATTCCCGCTCCTTTTGTCTCCTCAGCCCTTGCCATCTCACAGTACTTACACTAGGCCATATAGTTTCATCTGGATGTTGTTTAACCCTCCACCAAACTGCAAACTCCTGCATGAGAGGAACCCTAGCATCTGAGACAGTGCTCAGTAATCGAGAGCTGCTGCCTCTGAGGCTCTGCTTTCATGATAGCTTGAGGCACCCCTCCAAAAGCATCACTCCTGCTCAGAGGCCCAGAGGGTGGAACCCACATGTTAAAACATCAGTCAGAAATCTAATAACGGCCCATGGGCTTTGAGAACCATCTACAGTCTCTCTTCAAGACTGAGTGTGGTCTTTGTACATGTTTCTCTGGGGCCCAGCCAGTTCACAGGATAGGGAGAAGGCGACTGTGCAACTTATGTATCTGGCAACCAAACTCACTCACTGAAGTCACAGTTGGGCTTGCAACAGACCTAGCATTCTGCAAGGCATGGGGACACAGCCAAGTGTAGAACACTCTTTGGAAGACAGAGACGATAAACCAAAGATTATACCTTGAGAGGGAATGGAAGACTAGCATGGAGAAACAGAAGGAAGATAGGAGCAGAGTGGCCTGGAAAAGCTTACCCAGAAGATGACAGAGCAAGATGGGAAGGAAGGAAGGAAGCCCTGTTTCAGGTCCATGCTCAAGACATGGTCAGGCAAAGCCAGCAGAAAAGCCCTCACCTGGCCTGTCCCCTTCAAACTGTTTATCCTATGAAAGGCAACACTGAGGAAGGGCACCAATGAGGCTTGAAACTAAATGCAACCTGGGGTCTTAGGTCTAAGGATGGTGATCCTAAGAAGGTTGTTACCAGGACAACTGGAAAAGATTGAGTGTGGACTGTATGGTGGTAAGTGTCGATGCTGTTTCCAGAATTTGCTCTTTGGACCCAGGCACTTTGTTGTTGTTATCTCGGTTGGTTGTTGGTTGCAGTGGGGGCTCAGGATCTTTTACATGCTAACTATGACTCTACCACTGAGCCACATTCCCAGCTCTGAAGCTGAGTCACTAGACACCATCCCTGTTCTTCAGGAAAGACACACTGAAGTGTTTGGAATAAAAGGTTACATGTTTAACTCTTAAATAACAGAGAAAAGTTAATAACAATAACAGGTTTTTTTGGTTTTGTTTTTAGGGGAAAAAAAAAGAGAAAAGAGAAAGCTTAATATTGTTAGCTTAATGAGATTTAAAATCACCATGGAAACAGACCTGAGCAAGTCTATGGGGGAATTTTTCTAGATTAGATTAATTGAGACAGGCAGCACTATTCCAGGTATTAGAGTCCCAGAAGAGAAGAGAAAAGAAAAAAGTTAACTGAACATCAGCAGTCACCATTCCCTGCTTCCTGACTGTAGGAGACAGGACCCACCAGCTCCTGCTACTATCTTCCCCATTATAAACTCAAATTATGCACAGAACAAACCCTGCTTCCCCCAGTCTTCTTTTGTCAGGATTTTTGTAATAACACTGTTGTCACAATGAGAAAAGTAACTAATACAAAAGTTGCTCCAGGTGGAGGAACCCAGATGTGAAGCCTGGAGGGCAGGAGAGAGCTGGCTTGCTTGAGACAACTGAGTGATGAGCCAGTGACCCAAGCAAGGGGACAGTGTCACCAGCCTGGGGACACAAGCTATTTAACTGTAGCATAGGAAGCTGAACGGAGGGCCAGTTGGGAGAGGATGCCCTGGTCTACACAGGAGCTGACAGGGGCCCAAGGACCAGGGTGTCAGTGTGAAGGGGATAAGAAAAGGACGAAGCGGGGAATCTCTGCAGAGGTGTTGCTCACAAAGCCAGGCTTTTGATGACTTCAATGATGGGGAGTAAGAAAGAGTGGGAAAGGATCACCTCAGGCTTCAGTCTGAACTGCCCAGCCCATAGTGATGCCCTTTACTACTGGGCAGAGAAAGTAGGGGCAAGTTGGGCCAGGTTGGGGGTGTAGATCTGGTTTGGGGATGTGTTGAGTTCTAGATGCCTCTGAGGCATCCAAGTAGGTCACTGCACTTTCAGCACCTGCCTTGACATGTAGGCTTAAACACTGTACTGCAGCAGGGCTGGAGGACAGCGCTCCAGCATCTGCTGAGTCCTCCAATGAGCTCCAGCTGCCTCGCCTTCAGTCTCAGCCTCTCTCCTTTCCCCTGAGCTGGAAGGTGCACTCGGTCTTAGGCTTCTCTGCTGTCCAGGGAAAGGATGTCTGAGCTCAGCTCCCAACACAAACCACAGTGCCTGCCTCCATCCTTTCCCAGCAGGAATGTCAGAGTCCCAGAGGAAACCTTGCTGGTCACTATGGCAACAGCTGAATCTTGGCTTAGAACATTGATCTCACAGCAGGCCAGACGGTCCCTAAAATAGGGGGCAGGATGCTAACCCAGCGCACCTTCCCCCAAGTCCTGGCTCAATCTCAAGGAATATCCTTCTGGGAAGACTGCAGAAAAGGCCAGACGCTCCATGTGCAGGAAGAGGGGGAGAGGAATCTAGGGAGCCTCGCCCTCTACCCACCCCATCTCTATAAATATTTCATTAGACTTTTTTCAAGGCCCAGGACAGTAGGAATGGGATATTGATTTTAAATTCTGCTCTCTCCACTGGGATCAGCCCCATGGAACCTCTAAACTTCCCTTTCTCATCACTGTCCTCAATTTTGCCTGCTCTGTGGCCCACAAGGACTCATCTTCATTTGCACCAAGAACAGTGCATTAACAACTTGGATGTGCTCATGTGAGCTACAGGGGGAAACTCGGTGACACCTTCAAACCCAAAAGAACCTTTCCCTCCCCCAAGGTTCCTGATGATGCTCCAGCTGACTCTTCCTCAGGGAACCACAAGGTCATCTGGTACAGGCTCAAGGAAGTCAAGCAAGTCTACCCTACAGAGTCCATCTCACTCACGTTGCCTCTCCCCTGTGTCCTTGCTTTGTGACCCTCAGTGACACCTACCCCCAGCACACAGGGGCCCCTGCTCCCAGCATGCCTTTCTCACACCTGGTACTCACACTCTGGTCGTCATCCTCGCTTCGCATATGGTCTGCAATGAAGCGTACGCCATCCACTGCCTCCCGGAGGCCGCAGCTGCATGGCCCCACTGAGCGCCCGGGGCCGGCTCCAGGTGTGGGCTCAGCCCGGAACGCCCCAGCCAAGCCTTGCACTGATGCGGGGTTGACAAAGCAGGTGCATGGGTCAGCCGCAGGGCCCCCACGGAAGAAAAGTGCCCCTGCGCCCTCACGCTCGCGCTGGCGCCTCCGCAAGCGCAGGCGCTGCCGTGCACAGCGGTGGCGTGGCTGCTGCAGGAAGAGCAGGGTGGGCAGCTTCTCCAGGAAGACCACCTTGACCCAGGGTGCCATGGTGTGCGTGGTGGGCGAGCGGTGGTGCACATTGAGCACACACACGCTAGTGACGATGGAGAAGGTGACTAGCACCATGGTAAACATGAGGTACTTTCCCACCAGTGGTACGTCAAGGGAGGTGGGAGGCACGATCTTGGAGATGAGCAGCAGGAAGACTGTGAGCGCCAGCAGCACGGAGATGCAGAGTGTCATCTTCTCCCCACAGTCTGACGGCAGGTAGAAGACCAGGATGGCCAGCGAGGTGATGAGTACGCATGGGATGATGAGGTTGATGGTGTAGAAAAGCGGTTTGCGACGAATGATGAAGTCATAGGTGATGTCCACGTAAGTGGAGTCATCTGGGTTCTCGTTGCGCCGGCCTGGCAGTGCAATGATGTCCCACTCCCCACTGGGTGTGAAGTCATCCAGGCTGGCCACGTCACTTTTGAGCACCAGGTCGATCTCAGTGCGGTCGTAGGTCCACGAGCGGAACTTCATGGTGCAGTTCTGCTGGTCAAATGGGAAGTGCTTCACCTCAATCTTGCATGCGCTCTTGTAGATGGCAGGTGGTAACCAAAAGATGCTGCCGTCATAGGAGACCACGGCGTTGGAGTAGAAGGATACCTCGTACATGCCGTCCGCACTGCCAAGGAATGGAGCAGTTAGTCTTGGCTTAAGCGTCTCCAGCCCATTCAGCAACCCAGAAGAAGAGCCCAGGCTGAGCATGAACTTCTACTACACCGAGCTTGCCCAGAACGGGGCTGAGGATGGAGATATGCATAGTTTGGGGATAAGAATGGGTGTCCTGCTCAGGAGATGTGTGCATCCCAACAGAGGTAGAAGAGAATGATGCGGGGTGGGGGTGGGGGAGGTGCTGGCATGAGGACCTGTCCCACATAGAGGTGAGGGAGCCAGAGAGGCCAGAGCAAGGAGCCTCAAGCAATGAAGGGGTGCAGGCGCAATCCCATCGGTTAAGAGTTTTGTACCTTAGGTAAGAAGACTCACTGAAGGAGACAGAACAGAATCTCGGTGAAACTCAGTCACCACCCAGCCTTCCAGAAGTGCCCATCCTTGAATCAAACTGGGCACTGAGAACGGCCAGTCTTTAACGTCCCTTCCCCAGCTCCAAATGCTGTCAATCTAAGTAGCTGGGAGGGGCTAGTCAAGGACCAGGTCACCATGCTGTCCACACTGCACTCCACTAGTTGGGTCTGTCTGCCTACATCCTGCTGGGGGAAAGGGCCCTCCCTCTCACAACAGCATGTTCCTGCTGTATTCCCACCATGATGTCATCCCCTCCCAAGCACACCTGTGGTCCTCTCTGACCTTCCTATTGCTCCAGGGTCACCTACTTGTTGTATAGAACCACATCTGGGAGCCAGATGTGTTTAGAAGGGAGCCGGACTTTCTTCATATTGTCGAAGTCCTCAGGTTTCCATGTGAGGCGGTAATCTTCCCACTCCTGGGGAAGAGAGAGAGAACAAGGCAGTACTAACCTCTAGCCCCCAAAAGGGCCCAAAGCCAAAGAAAGGGACAAAAGGAAACTCCTCTGGCTAGTCAGCCTTCTCTACACAGTGACTTCTCTGCCTAGACATAGGTCACATGACAATGCAGCTTCATTTAGTTTGCACAGATAAGCCAGGTTATTAGATTTTACATTTACAGATGTGAAAATGAATCTTGGGAGTATTTAATACATTTAAAAATCACAGTCCTACTAAGGCAGAGACAGGTAGATCTCTGTGAGTTCAAGATCAGCCTGTTCCACACAGTGAGTGCTAGGTCAGCAGGACTGCACAGTGAGAGTACACTCTAAATTAATTAATCACAGTGCTGGTGAATGGCCCAAATAAGGATTCATTTCAACCATTCAGGACTCCTCTCTGAAGGAGATGTTAAGAGGGAAAGAGGGGAGGGACTTGGGAAGGCAAGAGCACTGACCTGGGTCAGCCAGACGTTGGTGGTCATGATCTGCTCCCGCTCATGCTGCAGGGAAACAGGGCAGCTGCTGAAAAGGTACTTCCCCCACCAGTCCTCAGATCTGTCACCACCCTCTTAAGGTCCCTCCCACCCTGGAAGCACTGGCTGGGCTGACTTCTGTAGCTAGACAGAGACCCACACTCACCACACTGATGAGTTGAGCCAGCGATACCATGAGCTGCACAGTCACCAGCTCAGAGCCATTAGTAGCTGGACGAATGAGTTTGTTGTAGCGAGAGGGATCCAGGAGATGCTCCACTAATCGCTCCTCTGTGTCGGTAGCCAAAACCCCTGGGCGAGGAAAGGCAGGAAGTGAGTAAACAGAAGGGCTCAGAAAGGTCCACCTACTCAGGGAGTGGAGTCCCTGACCAACCAGCTTAGCCTGGAAGTCCTAACCTCTTACAGCCGTGTGCTTAAGGGTATTACACTATTTGGTTATGAACCCCTGTGGTCCATCAAAGAGCTCCCTACCCAGGGACCACATTTTTTCCCCCTGGGATCTCGAGCTTCTGCCTCTGGGGCAGAAAGTCAACCACAGGCTGACTTTCACAGGTAAGACCCTCTCTGAGACCACACCACAACTCCAAGCAGCTCTAGAGAAACACCTCTAGACTAACCACCCACTCTGCAAGGATTACTGGGGACCTGTTTTCCCCAAAAGGTCTCAAAAGGACAAGGCTTGAGATCTCTGCCCCCGTGGGTTGGAACAGAATATTGGGACTGCCTGGCCTGTGGGTGCAGGGACCCAGCCTCTTGTGCTGTCATTAAGGAGGGGAAAGTTCATTTTACTGTACAGTGCCTGTACTGGCTCCTTTCCTCATCCCTCTCCTTCTGTGACTCTGCACAAGCCCCGGCTTTGAGCTCCCCGCAGAGTGCCTCCTTCATCCTCAGTTTGGCATGCCCTCCTCTTCCAAGTTTTCTGTCCCATCCTACAAGAAGTGGGAAGTCAGTGCTCTCCCCTTCCAGCCTTGTCCCTCTCTGTAGAGTGAACCAAATCAGGGCCCCAATGAGGAGGGTGGGAAATGACAGGAGCTTAGAGGACGGTGTTAACCCAGGTCATAAGAAGTCCGACACTATCTCAACCCTCTTGTCATCTCAGGATCCTTTCCTTCCGTCCTCTTTGTGCTCATTTGCTTCCTCCCTACAATAAATAGTCAGGTTTCCAGCGCTCCCTAGCCTGTGGTCTGCGTCTGCGCCTGGGGCTTCCTTTCAGATCAGTTTTAAAGATGTTGGGTGCCCACCCTGGAGTCTCTCCCCATCCCCCCTCCCCCCCACGCAGGCTCCTCCGCCGCTAGAGAATTCCTCGGTTTGCCTTTGTCCCGGCAGGGGTGACAGAGCTTGGCGTCTTGATACTAGCTGAGGCAATGGAGCCAGGCAGGCCAGTTCTTACCTGAGCACAGCCAAAGGAGAGGGAAGCCGAGCAGCAACACCATAGAGCTGGAGCGCCAGGCCATGCTGTCAGCATAGCGCGTGGCCTCGCCGACACCAGGGCTGAGGAAGGAGCGCTGTCCGTGGTACTGAAGCCGCGCAGCCGCCTGCACCCGGGTGGGGCTTGCGGCCCCCAGGGCTGAAGCGCCCACTGCGCGGCAGTTCCTGGAACCCGTGGAGGACCTGGCTTCTCGCCCGTCCTGCCTGCTCTTCCAGGGAACACAACTGGGACTGCAAGGGAAGGAAGTCTCCGCCCCGGAGGCGGAAGCGCGGAATCCCAGGGAAAAAAAGGTGGTCCCTGGGTAGGGTGCTCTTTGATGGACCTGCCTAGGTGGGGTGTGAATGAGGCGAAAGCGACCCACTGCTCGGAGTTCTAAATGCCTCCAAGTTGGGGCATGACCTACAGACGTTTGAGCACGGCTGGGAGGGAGCAGGAGTGGAGGGAGACAAATAGGTCAGGGCTCTCTTTGAGTGTGAGGTGAGTTGAGGGCGTTTCTGTCCTCTTTTACGTTCTTGCCCAACCAAACTAATGATTCTGCTCTTCTGGAAAGCTAAGGATGCGGCAGAGAGTATAAATGTTAAGACCTTGGACAAAGAAGCAGGAAGCAGGGAGCTAGCTAGTTTTAAAAAGTTAAATTGCTTCGGAGTTTTGGAATCGAGTCCCTTCACCGGCCCCTTAAGCTCCAACGGGGCCAGGATCTTGCCATCCTCTAGGGGAATCTAAGCTAGGAAGGTGTAGACTCCTGAAGAGAAGGTAGCCTTGAAGGTTCTGAGATATGCATAAACAACGGATATCAGTGGTCCCTTCCACTGCTATCGTCGTCTGTGTTCTGGGGAGATCAGGGGACCATTTCACAAAGAATGAAGCTAACACAAAAGAGCAAAGATGAGAGAGGTGTCAAAATTCAATGACATCTTTGATCTTGAAAGCCCTGAACTTTTAACTACTGAGCCCATAAAGGACCTCTTTTTTCTTAGTGGATCAGTGGTCACTTTCAACCACAAAGATTCCTGTCTGAAGCAGACTTAGCAGACAGTAAGGCTTCGTTTCATTTCATCAATGCCTGCTTCTCGGGTCCAGTGATTGGTAATGTCTTTAAGATCCTTGAATATTTAACCCCTCCCAGCCCTTGGCCTTTTAAAGATGTAGTTCTTGTTAGCTCCTTTATCACCCCATTGCAGAAGATGGTTATCTTCTGCTTAAACTTAAGTGTATTCAGGAATTTCAGATCCTCAGGGAAGCCATGACTGACTAAAGATTGAGTTAGGTACCTTGTTCGACTCTTCTGGAATGAAATCCTTGTAGAGCAGCCAGTGCCTTTTTAACTAGACTATGAACTAGCAGAGGGCCTGGCTTAAAATGAGAGCTTAATGGTAAATGGTAATATATGACAGACATATCTTAGGCATAAGCAGCTTACTTAACAAATGCCCAGATTTGAGGAGTCCAGGGATAGTGATGCAGCTTGGTCACAGAGTGCTTGCCTAGCATGTGCAAAGCACTGAATTCAATTGCCAGCATTCGAGGAAAAGGGCATGGGGAAGAGCTTGAAGGGAAAAAGGCAGCAAAGCACAAGAAAGGTGCCAAGATGACAGGAAGGGAAGCAACCACAGTGCATGTGGGAGTGGATGTAAATCTAAACCACAGGTGCGGGGCATTACAGGGTCTGGGCATGTGTAATGAGTTCTTCAGAAAGCTCTGAACACCAGCAAGTGAAGCCTAGAAAGAAGCCAAGGACTGTGAGCAGTCACACCACTTGGGGAAAGGCTGAAGGGTTAGATCTGTCTTCAACCATTTAGATCAACACATGTTGAGTATATCCTTTGAGCTCTGGATGGTTCAGAGCAGAGAAGGCAATGATCAAAAAGACTTAGTTTCAGTTATTAAAGAGACCACACTGATAGCAGATTACTAGACACTGTGATGACTGTTCTAGGAAAGACACAGATGGAAGCTGGGAGCAGGAAAGACAACAAGGCCTGGAAAGGACAGAAATGAAAGTGGAGATGAATCACAGGACAAGGCTAGCTTACAGGCATTCCACACTCCCGAGATAGCATCTCCAGTAGATGCACCATAGTTGAGGAAGGCTGGCAGTGTCTTCTATTGATAAACCTCCTGGAGTGCTTATTCTTTTCCTGACGACAGACTGAAGGCCGCTCACTTTTTAAATGACAGACTCAGGGACCCATTCATTGCCTTCTGGATGACAGACTTCTACATCACCTACTTTCTATATGACAGGCTTGGGGAGGGGGGAGCATTCACTTGCCTTATGGACGACCAACTGGGGGTGGGGCACTGATTATCTAAATGACAGGTGTGGAGAGGGGCTTAGACTCAGTTGTCTAAAGCCTGAGCCTGTTTTTGCCTGTCCAGGTAGCCTCTACACCTCTGCCTTTATGCTATCTTCTCCAATCTTCAATTTTTACATCAAGTTGACTTCTAGCTTGGCAAGGAAGGAGTCCACTGAGATAACCAAGCAGAGTGGGACACCCTCACTCTGCCTTCTATACACCACAGGAAGAGGCAGCAGGAGAGATGCAGAACCATACAGGGTTGGGGCACACAGCAATGTCATCCCTGACACAAAAGGACAAGTAAGCAGAGCCCTAGTGCCCCAATTACAAGGAGTGTTTTCTCTTGAAAATATTAAAACCAATGTATTTCCTTTAAAGTGTTTTACATTTAAAATTTTTGTTGATTCATGAAGACCAACTTAAAAAATTAGCAAAGCAGAGAGGATTCAAAAATCATACCTCTAAAGGGAGAGACACAGATATACCTATCTACATATACCATTCACATAGAGGATGCAGGTGTTCCTGGATACATCATCACAAGAAAACACCCAGATTTTGATTAAAGGAACAATTACCAATAACCAAGCACTTCTCCCAGTCACTATCTCTCCTCTCTGAGGACAAGAGATCCCAGCCAACACTATTTCAAGTTCTGGAACTGGGGCTGGAACAACATCTCAGTTAAGAGCACTGGCTGCTCTTCCAGAGGTCTGAAGTTTGATTCCAAGCACCCACATGACAGTTCACAACTACCTGTAACTCCAGTTTCACAGGATGCTGGCCTCCACAGACACTGCACACATTGGTTTATACACACACACACACACACACACACACCTACACATGAACATGCAAGCAAGCGTAATACAAGTAAAACAAAAATAATAAAAAAATAAATCCTGGGGGACTAGAAAGATATCTCAGAGGTTAAGAACACTGGCTGCTCTTCTAAAGGTCCAGAGTTCAAGTCCCAGCAACCACATGGTGGCTCCTAACCATCTATAATGAGGTCTGGTGCCCTCTTCTGGTGCAGGCATACATGTAGGCAGAACACTGTATACATAATAAATACATAAATATAAATATATATAATAATAAATCTTAAATAAAATTCTGAAACTAGTCATTAGGAATGGTTACACAACAGTATGAATGCAAATGGTAAATTTTATAGTAAGTGTATTTTATAATTTTTTACCTTTTTGAGACAGGCTTTTTTTTTATGAAGCCTAGGCTGATCTCAGACTCACAATATAGCTAAGGCTTGAACTCTTGATCCTGCCAACTCTACCCAAGTGTTGGGATTCCAGACAAGCACCACCATACCTTGCCACAATCTTTTTAGATGACTGACTAAATAAATAAATAAATAAATAAATAAATAAATAAATAAATAAATAAATAAATGGGAGGGACAGAGACAGACACATCATTCTGACTTCTAAAAGCACAGGTCAACTTTTCCTGCTTAATGTCATATACATAGAATCATAATCTTTTGCGTCTGTTTTATTGGCATTTTAGTGAGAATCATGGACACTGTTTATTCTTCATAGCTGGAGTGTCCCACTGCGTAACTATCCTATCACTTACCCATTCCACTTGGGATCCTATTTAGTACTAATGAAATAACACTGCTTTTTAAAATAAATATTTATCATTTTAACAATAAAAACATTTTTATTTAAAATAACGTTCATGGCTTCTTGGTTTTTGTTGTTCGAGACAAGGTTTCTCTGTGTAGCCTTGTCTGTCCTGGAATTCACTCTGTAGACCAGGCTGGCCTCAAACTAAGAGATCTGCCTGCCTTTGCCTCCTGGGTGCTGGGATTAAAGGTGTACACAGCACTGCTCAGCTCATGTCATATTTGGGGCACATAAACATATATGTAAAACATATATTTTGGTGATTTCCCAGAGTGTGCTACACCTTTGTAGTCATTTTTATTCACTATTTCACAAGCCTCTCTCCGCATGGGTAAATATTCTTTAATTCTATTGTTTACTGGTGGTATACCCTAGGGATCATACATACTAAGCAAGCCTCTGCCACTGAGATACCCCTCCAATCCCTATTTCTTTCTTTCTTTTTTTTTTTTTTTTAAGACAAGATCTGTTGTAGCCTAGGCTGGCATCAAATTCATGATCCTCCTGTCTCAGCATCCTGAGTGTGGGATCCTTTTAGAACTTACTTCCTTTGCAATCTCCTTCCACTTCAGAACCAACGCTCAGCTTCCCACAAGGCTCAGCTCTATTAGTGCTGCTACTGATATTTACTTCCACAGCTTTTTAAGGCTCCGCTGACCTTTTGATCTCCCCAGCTCTTACAATAACCTCAAATCCTTAAGCAGCCCCAAGATCCAGTCTTTGCCTGCCCTACCTCCATCATTCTCCTCTATTCTAGACCTATTATTCTTTTGTTCCTTCAATTCACCACATCCTTCCTTAAAATCTTTGTGTGCCATTATGATGGCTAAGGAAATTCCATTCTGTACCAGGTTTATCTTCTTAGTAGCCAGTGGCCTCTGCCCTGAATTTCTGAAAGATGAGCCTCTAGCAACCTGCAACTGCCCCAGAAGGGTGACTGCTGTGGGATGATTACCAGCTTGCCCTGGCTTCTGCAAACCCTCTTACTGCTGAATACAGGGGAATGAGGTCCCTCCTTTACAGCTGTGAACAGGGGGAAACAGCTCCTCACACAGCTGAGGGGAGGGAAGCGGTTTCTTACAGCTGCAAACTCCACAAAAACAAGGTAATTGGCATCTCCACCTTCAAAAATCCTTCCCTTAGCCCCTTCTAGGTAGCATGCCTTTGATTTGACTTAAATACATCTGGCTAATTACAATTTGAATTGAGTTTGTGGTCTTGTCCTGGTGGTCTCAAACTCCATAGCACTATCTGTTCTGCTTGGGACTTCTCAGCTCTTGTTCCGTCCATTCTACTCACTTTCCAGAAGTTGGTCTCACTCTTCAGAACCTTTCCAGATCTCCAGTCTTCTCCTTTGAAGACTACTACAACTGCAATTCAGTGCTTGAATGTCTGTCTACACATTTAATGTCTGTCTGGTTTTCTAAGTTTATATTTATTGTTGCAGGCAGGGCAAAGGCCATGCCATGGTGTGTGAAAATTAAAGGATAGCTTTGTAAAGCCTAGACTCTTTTACCTTTGTGCGTACCCATGATTAAACTCAAAGCACTAGGCTTGTATGGTCTCTGGCTCGCCCAAATGTCTGATCTGCCA